GGTGATAGAAGAAAGAAATAGTGAAAGTAATCAAAATTCCACTATCTGTTCTGTTAAACAGTTTTGCTGTTATGAACGCTTCGGTATTTATTTATTTCAATTTTCCGCTCTACTTTTTTTTTTTTGCTTATTTTGCTGAATGAATTTTACGTATGATTGTTGAGAAGAGGACAAGAGAAGTTTTATTTAAGTTTATAATTAATTTCCAATAACTAAATTCTACAGAAGTGTCAACACTGTATTGCTTAGATCTTTTTTCCAGAAGAAAAGACTTGCTGAACTATCATTCAGAACTGTCTCAGTTATCATAATGTTTGACGTTAATGCTGCCATCAATCGTAGGCAGCAGTATTGATGCTCTAAGGATCATGCATTAATCGTACCGGCAGTGTTCATGCGCTGTACAGTGTGAAACAGCAGTCCTTTCCTTCTGCACTGTTTTAACATTTGTCAACAGTCAATTTGGATCAGCTTAAGTAACTGTTATTTTGATAGGTAAAATGTACAATATCTTTGCTTATTCTACAAAAGTCTATTGTTTTTATGAAATAATAACTGACTGTTAAATAATCTATAAATTAAATGTTCGTAATCTGTATAGTTTATGTTATAAGATTTACAAAAGAAAAGTTTTGTTTTAGTAGTTTCAATATCAGCCAAAAGTGCTACCTTTATAACACATATACATTTTATCATTACAATACAGTTTGGTCTATTACCTCCACTAATTATCGCACTATTTGTTGCTTATATCTGCATCAAATGACCATTTGATCGGTGTATCGGTGAAACAAATATGGTATAGCTTGACAGAAATTTGTAAACCAAAAAAAAAGAAAAAATTCTTATAACATAAAAAAAGGCTTTTATAAACTACTATTTTTTTTTTTTGGATTTATCTGTGCCCTCTACTTTTTTTTCCTTTTTTTTAATCAACTTGGAAATGTTCAACTTTTTCTTCTGTTACTTCGACTATTTTTGTTGCTACCTTCTTACTGTTTCAACAGACTACAAATTTCTCGATTTACTTATTGGTATGAAAAAACTATACTTTTAAAAATTCTTCAACTTTTGAAAATTAACTATATATTAACCTCATAAGCAAACAGATAAAAACCTAATTTCTTAAATGCTATCTTGTTATAAAGTAAAACTTCAATTATTTTTTTAAAATGTTAAGATGCATTGTTAATAGTACTGCCAATGATGTATTTAATTTGAGCCATTTAAAAGCGATTTTAGATGAATTAATTGAATAGGCAAAGATTTCTTTGTTGATAAAGTGAAATAATATTCAAGTCCTAGTTTTATTCCAAATTAAAGTAGACAACCACATAACAGATGCATAGAATTGTATGTTCTGAACAAACTGAACTGTTTCGCACAAAGCAATCTTAGTTTACTTAAATTTTTGTCTCGGCATAATTGTTTTGTTGATGTTTGTGAAAATTGAGTGATGCTGTCAGTGTCGACTGTTAAGTTTCTTGACATAATCAACTGTTTTACTCGTGTTTTAGAGGTAAAGGTCAATGTCGTTTATTAGGTGAAAAGAAAAAAGAAATCATTGGGGAATTAGGGGGGAAGGTTAATTTCAGTGTTAACACTTGAAAACCAGTGAAAAACCACTGAATTTCTTGGCTACCAAATCACTATATGAGAAAAGTATGCTGCATGACAGAAATTTCGACACAGTGTTCTCTTTTAAGAGAAAAATCAAAATTTTCTCTGTCCAAACAGCTATTTCACCTAGGTTCCGGTGTTTTTAAAATTTGGGTAATCTGCTGTTTTAGTTGCATAGTATCTGTCATTTTCAACGTATACGGTGACAATTATGCATCGATGCTTTTTATTTCGTTATACTTCATAATACTGCTTCAGTTTTAGGACCTATGAACAACGATCGGTGGGTACGGCCATCTTCATCGCCACTGCAGAAGTATAAATGTTGTAGTCAGTTACGGGTACAACCCTGCATGAATACATATGAAGAACCGGAGGATTATTACTCGAAGCCGCCAGATTTTGATAGCGTAAGTATGCAGTATAACCAATTTTAATATTTTCTTCCAGTAGTCTTTGTCACAATCAAAATCAGTGCTGCAAGAAACAAAATTAATATTCGCTAATAAGTTAAGTTTAATTTTCTGTTGCAACTCACAGTGTAGAATAGCACACTTGAATTGTTTTAAAAAGTTGTCTAAAAAAAAAAACAAATACGTGTACTTCAGGTAGCTCCACCGCCATCTTTGCCACCACCACTAAGTTTTAAAGCCTTACCAGTTACCAGTTCCACAAATTTGTCAGCAAGGCAACGGGCGGTATGTTATCTGTTCCAAAATTTTTTGATACATTTATTGTCAAGCGGAGATGTGTATAATGCATTTTGCTCTTTTTTAATTTCACATGAGTTTATCAACTGTCCAATTTTTTTTTGAAGTTGTAGCTGTTTGTTGAAATTGAGTTGTATGTATACGTAGTCAAAAAATAAAGGTATGAGAAATTTTGGAATTTATGTCATTGAAAATTTTTAAATTTTATCAAGCTTGAATTGATTTATAAGCTTCAAGAAACAGGTTTATCAAGCAGCAACCTGATAAATTTTTCGACTTTAATGTTAAATTTATTTTTCCAAATTTCTCTCATTGGTTTGTCGTATGCTAGTTTATACCAATTAGTAAAGTTTGAGAAAATTTCAACGTATTATTTGAAAAAAGTGTCTAATTTGACGCGTAATAATTTAGATATTCTTCTCTTCATTAATATAAATTTTGATCAAAAAAATTTCAAAAAAAAAAGAAGGCTGCTGTTCACTGAATTATAGTGTAGATATTTTTTTCTTTGTTTGAGTTAATTAGCGAAAAAAAAGAAAGATTTTTGAAGAAATTTTTTGAATAAATAAATGAACTTTAAAGGAGTGTGTGAGTGCTTTTTGACGGTGAACATATGCAGTAAGCGAGGTGAGAAGACGGGGAAGGGGAAAGGGGGAACAAGGGATATTAAATTATTGCAGCGTTTGCCCACAGTGGAAAAATGGCATACCAATTATCAAACACCCTTTTGCAATGGATACATTGTATTGCAGTAGACAAAGATACCAAATGATTAATTAAACTTTGACAATGCTTATTCGTTAAGTTTTTTTCTGATTTTTAGAATTGCGACAAAACATTAAAGGTATAAAAATAGTTGAAGATAAAAAATAAAAACTGAATATTATTGAAAAAAAACTTTAACGTTAAAAAAAATTTTTTTCTGCTACTGTTGTTTTTTTTTGGCTATTATTAATGTCTGTACTGCAAATCTGTTATTCAATTTGAATGTCATTTATCAGTTTTTATTGTCAAGGACATTTGATAATGGCAAAAAAAAAAAAAGACTCTCTTGTTTGCGTAAAATTACTCAGAACAATTCAGTCAATCAATGAAAAAAACAATTTTGTTTTATCGTTATTAAATATTAAAATTGGAATAAGATTCATTGCAGTTTGTTTTTTAAATTTTAAACTATTTTATGCCTCACCTAATAACTTTAAATGAGAAAAAAATTGAAGCAACTGTATATACTGCCGTAAAAGTTTAGTTTTTAATAAAGATTTTTGAGTAAACTATTTGCATAACAGAATAATGTTAGACTGCTTACCATTTAACTGTGCTCACCCAACGAATATTTCAAGGTAATCAAACAACAGTAATTGCTCCTAAATACTTGCCTACTGTAAACTGTATATCAGTTAACATTAATAAAACTGATACTTTATTCTATTTTTTACAGGTTAACAGTTAACAAACAATTTTTTCATTGTTTTATTTTTAACCTTGTTTTGACTGTTTTTAGCAGAAATGTTAGATGAGATTTTATGCTCTGATCAGTGATTACAATTAACCAAAAGTTTTTGTCTTTTTTAGTCGATCTTCTCAAGTAACTTTCTAATTCTCAAAAAGTTTAGTAATTTGTATTCTATTTCAAAACTGTATGTAATGACTTTTTTCTTGAAATAAATAAACTCATTTATATGTCATCTTTTGTGTTAATTTTTTTGGAAAAGTGCTATCACGTAATAAAAGTTTTTCACACTATGAGCTTCTGAAAGTTAGCCAAAAAAGAGGGAATTGATATCTAAAGCTTTTTAACGTACGGTTTCAATGTAAATTCTGTAAAAGTATTTGCGGAAACAATTTCAAAGGAAAATTGTTTAAAAAGAACAAAAACGTTCTTTCAAAATGTATATATATCTCTTCAATAAACTGAAAATTGATTAAATTATGAAAAATTAATTGTTTCTAAGGTGTGAATTTATACAAATTAATTTGGACTTTTTATTTTGCTTTTTCTTCATCAACTTGTATTTCAGAGGCGAAGGGTAAACTTTAGTGTTTTGGTGTTGAGTATACTGCTTGCAACGGTATCACTTTTGTTGTGTTCATTCATTATTTATAGCATATTATTCAGTCATCGATCTCAGCTTTTAAACATAACATCAACGGAGTCACTTACAGCTTATGTAAGATTTTTGTCTTGAAATTTTTACACAACCAATATATTTTTGTGAAATTTTTAGTGTATATCTAAGCATGTTGAGGTGTTTAGGCAAATCCCAGCAAAGAGGTTGATCGTGAACAACGAAAAAAAGCAGAAATTGAAGTAAATGCAAGCTATTTGTTAACGTTGTTGATAACAAAACGTAAAGTATGCGTTTTAGAAGCAAGTACCGATCGACTGGAAAGTAGCAAGTATATACGATTATTAAGTTCTAAAAATGTAGCTTAATTGTTTAGTTGTTTAGACGTTTTTTTCTTAAAAAATCTGGTTTACAGTCATTTTCACTAAGAAATTATTACAAAATAATTAAGTCTTTGTTCGTTGGTTTACATTTATTTAGCATTATCTATACATTGTATCAAACGATTTATCAATTGACTATTTCAGGCATGAGTTTCTTGTTGAACATATCGAATCAGCACGTCTACTATCCTATCAGAATCTTAGCCATAACGGTGCTCCAGTTCATCCACTGCAATTTCAACGTCTTGCTCGAAGTTTGGGTATTGACACAGATTGTCATGTTATTATATACGACAGAGGCGAAATGATATGGGCAACTTACGCTCATTGGATATTTACAGTTCGTTCTCTATTATTCACTTATTTTTAGCAGAATAAAAGAAAAATGATTCACTATTTTTACAATTTTAGTTTTTTTCATAATAAAAATTTCATTTTTTAACAGCTATTCGGCCACGAAAAAGTTTCTATACTTGCTGGTGGCTTCGAACGTTGGAAAGTGATGCAAAAAACATCACCGCAGTACCGAACGGTTAGCGGTTTAGGCACTTTTGTACAAAGAATGGGAAATTTTCAAGCCACGTGGAAGAAAGAGGTAATACCTTAATAAATTAACACTAATGTTTAAATTCTCATGTTTTTTCAAAATTTTATACTTTTTAGTTGTAGAAGTATATTACTGTTTATATATCTGAAACTATAACTCAGTGAATGCTATAATAAATAAAGCATTTAGACCATAAAATTCGATTTATTTAAGGCGTAGAAGTGTGCTTACTTATAAATATAAAAAATTGAGAATTTTAGTTTACTTAACAAATTTTTGTGCTGTTTTTTTTACAGGTAATTTGCACATTTGATGATGTCATAACGAATTCGGAGTTGAAAACTTATTCTCTAGTGG